AAATTCCTTAGTGACTGGGGGATAGGCTGATGGTCTGCCCAAAGGTGGAAAAAGAGACAGGAGAAGATAGAAGGAGAGGACAGAAAAAGATGGTGCAAAACAGAGAGGAGAGAAAAATTGGAGATTGAAGTTAAGCAAGTAGGCAGATCAGTTGACTATTCTTGGTCAGGGAGAGAAAAGTGAAGTTCACCCATGGCTTCCCTGAAAGAAAAAAGATCAAAATCCAGTCAGAGGACATCTCCATGTCACAAGGAGAAGAAGACCTTGAGATAGGCTCTTTACACAATAGAGAAGCTGTAGGTGTTTGTTGACCAGATCCAGAAGGAAGTCAAGCTGTGCTGAGCACAGTAAATCCAGCCCGGTCCTTTCTTTTCACTTTTGATATAAGTCTAGAAAGGGGGAGGAAGCAGGAGAGCTAGAAGGGGATTTTTTTTTCTGGAAGGGAGACATAAGGAAACCTGACTCCAGGTGAAGACTAGAATGGGCAGGTTTATTTTCTGTGTCAGTTGCCAACCTTGCAAAGCAAAATACACCTCACCTGTTCAAAAAAAACCTGATCACATGTGACATCTAACACAAAACTTCCTTCTTGTACCTTTTTGGAAAGGCAAAAAATGGGCAAGTTAGTTAGAAGGTATTTCTGATTCCTTTTCAGGGATACATTCATCTCTATTTATACTCCCTCCTGATCCTAGTATAGTTAAAGACAGGTAGATGACTTAAATCCTGTATAATAAATAACAAAAAATAAAATCATGTATAAAATATAATAAATTCCCTGGCACCATGGTAATTATGCTGGAAATCTTGCTCCAAGATAAGCATTTCCAGAGCTTATTTATCAAGATGTAATTAATATATATTTTTCTGGAGACCACCTACTTCCTGCTCAAGATAACACTGCTTTATATTATGGAAGTATATTAGAATTCTTCCTAACATCTTCAACAGTGTCAACAAGCCTTCTACATCCTTTTTCATTGCAATACAAAGTGTCACAATCAACCACATGCTTTAAAAAGGTGCTGAAATTGTTTAAAACTACAGATCAACTCGAATGTATGTTTAAGAAGGAAGCAGAATAATGGCTATATATCCAGTAATGCTGCAGTTGTGAAAATTCTCTCCCTGCAGCCATAATTCAAATAGCTAACATATTTCCAAAGGCCTTACATGATTTATGTTCAGCAAGTGAACAAGCACAACGGGAGAAAGCAGTGAAATTGGGCGACATTCCCAAGGTCTTGTTCACCTTTCCCAAATGAAAAAGAGCATGTAATTGTCAGGCCCAAAGAACCAAGAACCACACGTGAAATTACTTTTGAGTAGCTGTTCACTTACAAGAGAGAGACCTTGCCATACTAAAGCAACTATCTGCATAATTACTAGATATACCTTTAAATTGCTAGGGAGAAGCAATCCTCTTTTAACCCTCTTTCTGACAACCAGACTGTAGGAGGTGACCAGGCTGAATCCAAGGGAGGGGTCAAACCTATAATCAGTCATGAGTCCCTACAGGCTCACGAGAGCTGTAAATCCAGCCCATCTTGAATTCCTTTCTCAACTCCTGCTGATTTCCCTTGACGGTTAGTGGCTCAGATTCTTGTAGAGAGCTTAAGCTTGCAACAAATCTTTATGCTCATTTGAACTGCTTGAATTGCTAGATTTCTCCAGGGCTTGATATAAATCTTCCAAGTTCCACTGTCTCGTTGCCCTCTTGGAAAGAGACACTCCGTCCTGCGATTCCCAACTTCCCTCACATCAGTAAAATGTGCTCACTAGGACACAACCTTAATTGAAAAGGCTGTTTTTGTTTTCAGCCTTTTCATGTCACATGTTCACATGACACAATCAGCTCTTAGGTTATTGAACAATTCATGGTTGGCTGGCTTCATACAAAATGCTGATCCGTAAGGTGCTATTTATAAACCACAATTACTACATTACTAAAATCCCACAATATGCTAAACTTGAAGCAAGTGCAATGATGGCTAAAAGTGTTGCATGAAGCACCTACAATATTTCTCATGGCCAATGTTCCTGTGACTATTCAACTAGATTTAGTCAATTCTTGAATTATTCTCCCAAAGGAAAATATACTGCAGATGTTGCAACTATAGTTGAACTGGGAACGCTGTTGCTAAGCAACATGGTCATAAAGGGGAAAAAATCATGTGACTGTGCCAACTTATGATAGCACTTCCAGTTGCAATTCAGTGCTGGTCATTAAGTCACATGACTACAACTTTTTGTCAAGTTTTCTGACTTTGCTTGGTGGAAGCCAGCAATGAAGGTTGCAAATGCTAATCATATGAGTATGGAATGCCTCCACTGTCATAATTGGAATTGTGAACCAGTTGGCAAACATTCAAATCACAATCACATGACCCAAGGATGCTATGACAACTGAAATTTGGAGAACTAGCAGTAAGTCTCCTTGTTCAACATCGTCGCAACTTTGGTTGCTGAACGAGCGATCACAAAGCAAGAACTATAAGTAAGCTATAATTTCCAATAATCTTTTTGTAAATCAGCGAGATATCAATTATGACATTTTTCAAAAAGTTTGTATTAAAAGTTTGTTTGTACAATATATTCTGATCGTTCCACAGGCGTTAAAGTATAATAAATACCATAAATATCAGTTCTACCATGACTATATCTCTATTTGCTGAAATTTCCCCTTCAACCTGATAAAATTGACCAAAAGTTTTTTTTATCTTACAAGCATCTTTCTTGTTTTATTAGAAACCAGCAGTTTGTCAAAATATCCCTTAATTCAGCCATATTAATTGCAAATTCCACAGTATTTGCTTGTTTGGTTGGGGATGGTTACTTTAAATTCTCCCACTGAGCTTACAGTTCTGCATAAATTAAACCATCATGATTTGTTCAACAAATCAAGATTTGAACAAGCTGGAGAAACTTCACCCAATATAACCCCCTAACCATACAAATTAAAACTGTTTAGCAACTACTAAGAAGAGATTTTTGGGGAAGTACTTTCTATGACAATGGACTTTAGCAATTCTATAAAGTGCCTTTAAAAGAAAATTATTTTCCCCACATCTAAAAATGTATCTTTTTGTTCTACATTTTAGTTCTACATTCATTTATTCTACATTTTAGTTCTACATTCAAGTCTACAGTCTTATTTTACAATAACTTCCCTCCCATATTAGCTAGGAGCTTTTCATAACACAGTTATAAATCAACTGAAACACAGCTGGTTAGAGTCTTAATTTCCATTGCCTCAGTCTTTTACAGGTAGTCCTCTACTTACAACCACAATTGAGCGCAAAATTTATGTTGCTAAGACAGTTGTTTAAGTGAGTCTTGCCCCATTTTACAAACTTCCTTGCCATAATTTAAAAAATCACTACAATTGTTAAATTAGTAACATGTTTGTTAAATGAATCTGGCTTCCCCATTGTGCTTGTCAAGAGGTAGCAAAAGGTGAACACGTGGCCCCAATGCACTGCAACCCATAATAAGCACATGCCAGTTGCCAAACACCAGAATTTTGGTCACATGACTATGGGATGCTGCAATACTCAAAAGTGTCAAAAATGATTATAACTCACTTTTTTCATTCCATTGTAACTTCAAATGGTCACTAAACAAATGGTTATCAGTCAAGGACTACCTGTATAAGCCGTCCTTTTTTCTGTGATAAATATTTAAGTAAATGTTGGGACTTAGAACCAACTTAGGTAGTTTCCAACTTTCACGTTTCTTGCATAGGTTCACTATCTGAAAGTTTGATGGGACACACCTGTTAAAGCTTGGTAAAGAAATTAAATCCCTGTTTCTTTAAGAACAAGTGAGATCAGGGTGATGGGCAGGTGGGTTATGCATCCTTATTTTGTTTTTGTTTTGTAGGGATAAGGGTATTGCACAAGAGAGCCATTTTAACCTATTCCAGACCAGGAAATGGGATAATTGGGTCAAGTAATTTAAGAACCACTGGTTTAGGTTACCATTAGTTTGATCACCAAAGTGTAGGAGGAAGTTTTTAAAAACTTTAAAAACAGCATTCTTTTCTAAGAAAAGTAAATCCCACAGAATCAGAAAAATGTTCTTTGAGATGACAAATATAGGAAGAATCTCATAAAATAGATTGCACAAGACAGCCATATTAACCTATGATTAAAATAAAATTTGGTGATACTGTAGAAACTAAAAATACTAATCCTATCCATATAACTTTCATAGGTCCCAATCCATTTTGTCAAAGTGCACACTGTGATCTAGAGAGGGAGACTGTAGATATACTCCTAGGTCTTATTAAGCAGAGGGGAAGGCGGACAACAGGTGCCCAATAAATCTCACATCAATATTTAAAAAATACTAAGCATGAGGAAGTCTTAACAAAGGTGGGGTTGTTTTTTTAAACATTATTTGCAGAGATTGTTATCTTTCAAAAGACCTCTCCCAATTGATGCCAGCCAATAGGTTGATCCAAATGGACAGATCAAGTGAAGGAAGAAGCAGTCTGGCACTTACTACCCTCATTTTATTTCTTGAAGTACGGCAAAAAAATAATAATATAATCAAGTTTGACCTTCACCTTTTGCTACGACTACAGCAAAACGCACCTGTTGCCTAAACGCCAAAACGATTCTCACCCCGAAGTGCAAACAATCCCTGCGTGTTTTGCGGTGCAGCTCCTTTAAAGCCTCTTATGTAAGCGCCCCTATTCCATCCCCAATACAATACTTCGCTTGGTCCTTCAAACTACGGCGAAACTTATCCTCGGAGTTGCTACAAGAAGGCTCTCGCTCCGATTGTTTGCAGCCGCTTTTAAAAGGGGGGTGGGGGGGAGGAAAGGGACTTTGTTGGCATTTCGCCCCGGGCGCTTTCTCCTTCCCCGTCAGCGACTTTTCTTTCTTATCGCAGAGTGACCTTATACCCGCCAAGCGCAGGGCAGAGCTCCCAAGGGAGCGAAGGAGAAAAGGAAAGCCCTGGCGGAGAGCCAGCTGGAAGCCCCGAGAAGGTACCTGCTGCTGCTGCCGCCGCCTCCGCCGGTCCCACTTCCCAGGGGGGCGCCGCGGGAGACTGAAAGCGCGAAGCGCCGGCGCCGGCGGCGGGGCTCTGGAAGACCAAGGCCGAGCTGTGCAAGCTGGGGCTGGATTTCCTGCGAATGGCTATCCGCCTGAAATTGATGCTTTCGGACCCGTTCATCTTGCCTTCTTCTCCGCGACGAAACCCGCGCAGAAACTGCCCTTTTCCTCAGCCCCTACTCCGACCTCATCCTACCAGCGCCCAGCAACGCGCGCTTGGCCGGCTGACTGAGCTCGCTTTAACCTCCCACCCCCCCACCTCCACCGTCCTCCCAACGCTCTTTGCCCCGCCTGGCGTCGGTCGGCCGCGGAGTCTCCTTGCGCTCAGCGACTCTGCCCGAGAGAGAGAGAGCCCGCCTTCCCGGCGGCTGGAGGAAGCAGGGCGGACGCCTCGGAGTTCCCGCCTGCGCCCAAGGTACGCGCGTACCTGGCTGGGGTTACCTGCGCGCATGCTCTAAAAGCCTTCCCGAGGGTTCTCACTTTGGAATGGAGGAGGCGGATCAAAAGGCGGGCCCGCTGCTTCCCCGCCTCAACCTTAAGGAAAGGTTTACTTGGCTTTGCTTTCCCCACCTGTCAAGGAGCGGTCTGCAGGTAGTCCTCGACTTATGATCACAATTGAGCCAAAAACATTTTGCTATTTTGTTGCTGAGTGAGACGTTGGTGAAGTGAATTTTGCCCCCATTTAAGGGCCTTTCTGGCCAGAGTGGTTAAGTGTAGCTGCTGCAGTGGTTCAGTTAGTAACACAGTTGTTAAGTGAATCTGGCTTTCTCATTGACCTTTGCTTGTTAGAAAGTTGCAAAAGGGGATCCACAAAAGCCTGCAACCAATTTAAATATGAATCTGTTGCCAAACACCAGAATTTTGATCATGGGATGCTGCAGTGGCCGTAAGTGTGAAAAACGGTCATAAATTTTTTCAATGCTGTTGTACCTTTAGTCACCAAATGGACTGTTCTTAAGTCAAGGACTACCTGTACTTTAGCTGAATGTGTTGCTGGAACACAGCCTTTAAATTCAATAGTAGTCATCAGCTCTAAGAAAGGCTGACGTTTATTGGGAAGTTGTGCAAGGAGATTACTGGTTAAGCATTTAATATGGTTAGGTATTTACTTTATCCTGTTTGAGGGAGGAACAGTATAAACTTACTGACAGGGATTTTCTGCCTGGGTTCACACTTGGTCCTATTTAAAAATAAATGGATAGGGCAGAGTTGCACAGATGGGAATTAAGGAGTTAGTGTATATAATCTCAAACCCAGTTTCAGTGTAGGCCAGGACTCTCCAAACTTGGCAACTTTAAGACTTGTGGACTTCAACTCCCAGAATTGCCCAGCCAGCATGACTAGGCTGAGGAATTGTAGTCCACAAATCTTAAAGTTGCCAAGTTTGGAGACCCCTGGTGTAGGCAAAGCCAGGGATAGTTCTTGAATTGGCAAAAGATGTGCATTATTATGTTAAGCCATTATAGTTTAATGTTTAACTAATCCACAATTAGCTGAACTGGTAAAATGTACCAAACTATAAGTTACAGAAGCCCTTGCTATTTTCTTGGCAAGGTTTTTCCAACAGTGGTTTGCCGTTGCTTCCTAACCAGGACTGAGGGAAAGTGACTGGCCCAAGGTCACCCAAATGGTTTTGTATCTAAGGTAGGACTAGAACTCACAAGTCTCCTGGTTTCTAGCCTTGATGCCTTACACAAAACTGTCTCTCAAGCATTTCTTTATTACTTCACTTTCTTCTAGCCCCCACAGTAGTACATCCCCCACCCTTTCCTTCAACCCTTTCCAGCCTGATCCAAATGTTACAGAGGCCCAGAGAAAGGGAGGTCTGATTGATGTAAAGCCCAGGTCATGTAAAGACTTGCTGTGTTGCTCAAATCCACCAGCTGAGGCATAATGTGATGAGGAAGAGTGAGGAAAAGATAAATCATAATAATCTTACAGACCAGCATTTCCCAATTTCAGCAACTTTAAGATGTTTGAACTTCCAACTACCAAAATTCCCCACCAAATATGTATCAAGGTTATTTTAAAAGTTGTTGAAATTGAGAAACACTGATACAGATGATGGGAATTCTAGCTAAAATAATCAGTGCAATAGCACTTATCAATAGCACTTAGACTTATATACCGCTTCACAGTGCTTCACAGCTCTCTCTAAGCGGTTTACAGAGTCAGCATATTGCCCACAACAATCTGGGTCCTCATTTTACCCACCTCAGAAGGATAGAAGGCTGAGTCAACCTGGAGCTTGGTGAGATTCGAACTGCCAAGTTGCAGACAGCTGGCAGTCAGCAGAAACAGCCTGCAATACTGTATCCTGACCCCTGCGCTACCATGACTCTTTATTTGTTTGGTTTTCTTGTGCAAAACACAAACGTCATAAGTCAAGTATTCAGGGGAAGCATTCAACTCAGTCTAGCATGACTTGAGAATGCACTCAATATACTGTATTTCATGAGTAGTAGGGAAAACATAGAAACTTAGAAAACTAGTTGGAATCAAATTTGTCCACACACATCTTGTTCTATAGAGAGGGAGATTTTACCCATGCCTGTATAAATATTGTCAAAATTATGGCAGGAATATTGAGGGGTCTTGTGGAAATGACTTAAGCTGTAATTTTTCAACAGCAATACAGTATTATTTTCTGTACTCAGAAATGAATAAATGTATAATTGAAAACATTTTTATCATCTGTCCTTGGTTAAAGTAGCCATGGCTTAGCACAGTATGTAAATCCAGCAACTTGTTTTCTTTCTGTCTGAATGTGAAAGATGTAATTTATAAGGAATGCAGTTTCAAAAAGATTTCACGTGCTACATGTAGTCCTCGACTTACAACAGTTCATTTAGTGACCATTCAAAGTTACAATGGCACAGAAAAATGACAAAATTCCAATAGAGGAAGAAGTGATTAAGAAAATAATGGAATGTGCAGAAATGAGTAGATTAACATTAGCAATTAGAGAGCAAGAAGAAAAAGAATATTTTACCAATGGTTATTTTACCAATGGTTAGATAGAAAAGTGGAAAATTGAAGTGTAATTCAACAGTAATGAAATGTCATATTGATTATTATAGAATGACTTTTAATATGAATTAAAATTGGTAAGAACTGAGACTTGCTCTAAAGGATAATGTGGATTTGAAACTAAAATCTAATGATGGTGTAATAATAATACAACATGGAAAGTGGATTAATGTAATATGAATGTAAATTTAAACTCAAGAGGAAATGACTATACCAGTGGTGGAATTCAATTTTTTTTACTACCGGTTCTGTGGGCGTGGCTTACTTGGTGGGTGTGGCTTGTGGTCATGTGACTGGGTGGGCATGGCTTGGTCATGTGATTGGGTGGGCGTGGCCAACTCAATGTCACTCACATCAAGGGGTACCTCACCTGGCCCCTCCCCCCCAGTCATTCCTTGTCACCCAGCCTCAACTTATCTGTAGTTCTGTAAATATGTTGTTCACCTTTTTTGACTTTATTATCTGCATACTATAGATGTACTTTCATGGACCACTGAAAGGAGGAAATGGCTCACATGCTTTGCCCAAGATTGTGCTCGGCAACAGGCTTTTAAGGGGCTGCCACAAAGAAGCAGAAGGCAAACCAGAAGCAATGGATGGAAACTGAACAGAGAGAAGCAACCTAAAACTTAGGAGAAACTTCCTGACAGTGAGAACAATTCACCAGTGGAATTGCCTGTCTCCAGAAGTTCTGGGTGCTCAATCACTGGAAGTTTTTGAGAAAAGACTGGATAGCCATTTCTCTGAAATGGTACAGGGTTCACCCCAAGGTCCCTTCTAAGTATTATTCTGACACCTTTCCCAGGATTTCTACTCAGAGTTTGGCATCCTCAGTTTTTTTGCCTGAACTGGGGGTTGGACTAGAAGACCTCCAAGGTCCCTTTCAACTCATGTTAAACACATGTGTATTTTATGCTCTGGTCTATTGACATTGAATGCAGTTAAACCCTGAAAAATATGTGGTAGCCCTGGGCAAAAGAAAGGCAGAAAAATCACTCTAAGTGTAGGGACAATGTAAAATATTAACACATGATAAATAATGGAACAATTAAAAATAATAGCACAGAATTTTATCTCTCTCTCTTCCTATTTTTTTCTTTCTTTCCCTGCCTTCCTCTTTCTTTCTTTCTTTCTTTCTTTCTTTCTTTCTTTCTTTCTTTCTTTCTTTCTTTCTTTCTTTCTTTCTTTCTTTTTCTTTATTTTTCTCTCATACATACACACACACAGAGAGACAGCACTTAACAGACAAGCATTTTGGAAGCAGCTCCTTTAAATTTCTCCAAGGCTTGAGTGGATTCCCCCACCCCCTCTGTCAGATCGCACTCCTTCTCGCTCCAGGCACTTTACTCACACGGGGAAGGTGATACTTGCAGCATCCATGCCTTTCTTCCTTTCCCCCCGGGGGAAAAAGAGGATGTGGGGAACGGAAAGCTAGGAGAGTGATCGCAAGTGAGTGACCGGGTGACTGGGTTGGGGGCATGGCCAGCCAGGGGTTGCCACCGGTTCAGTAACCCATGCCAAATAACTGCTGCCGGTTTGCCCAAGTAGGTGCAAACCAGTTGAATACCACCTCTGGACTATACATATTGTGCACAAGAATTATGTACCAAATGACATATTGTGCAATTGAAAGATGGTTTCATTTTATTGTTTTATGTTTGTCTATGTTTGTTGTTAAAAATAAAAAACTTTTTTAATATAAAAAGTTACAACAGCACTGAAAAAAATGACTTATGACAGTTTTTTCACACTTACGACCGTTGCAGCATCTCTTGGTCACATGATCAAAGGTCAGGTGCTTGGCAACTGGTTTATATTTATGATAGTTGCAGTGTCCTGGGGTCACGTGATCCCCTTTTACAACTTTCTGACAAGCTAATTCAATGGGGAAACCAGATTCACTGGTTTCCATGTTACTAACGTAGCATCTGCAATAACTCATTTAACAATTATGGCAAGGAAGATCATAAAAGGGGCAAAGTTCATTTAACAAATGTCTCCCTTGGCAATAGAAATTTTGGGCTCAGTTGTGATCGTAAGACAAGGACTGTATTAGCAGAGCTGCACTTCTACCTGTGCCATTGCCTAGAAGAAATCTTTTATGATGGAATGGAAATATTGGGATAAAGAATCAATGTCATAAAAGTTTTGTAAAGTTATTTATGAAACAGTAAAGCAAAATTAAATCTGCAAACCAGTAAATTTATTCAATCTGGCACTGGCCAAAACAGGAAAACTACATTACAATTACCTATCCATACTAGGAGAAATTCTTGCCTGAGTAGAACAGCTATTGCATGATACTATAAATACCTTTTTGCTGAATTCGT